TGTTAAATAATAATGAAATCGACTGTGTAGGATTATGCTTCACATCAGTACCTATATACGAGTATGTTATTCTTTTTGATTTTTTTTCTCTCTGTTCGCGAATAGAAAAGAATAGAATAGTATTTTAAATTTGCATAGGGCACGAGGGTTGCTGTGTGTACAATTCACAATGTACAAGCGTAAATATATATATATTATATATACGTTTATTATGTGAAATATAAACGATATACATAATATATATAGGATATTCGTAAAAAAAGTCTCCGTCTCGAACGTACAGAATAATAGTAAATAGTAGCTCGCGGTATCAATTACTTGTGTAAATGCATGTATAAACACTGTACAGAAATATTTGTTTTGTTTCATACTTGCCGGTTTCATCAATCTTATCAACGTCGCGTACTGAATACAAAAACTTCCTGTTTCTGTAAATTATCCTCAATTACTACACCAAGTCTTTTGTTCTAGCAAACATTTGGATTGCGATTTTTCGCGAACAATAATTACTCGTATGCACCAATGAATGTTAAAAAACAAAAAAATTGTATATTATACTGCAGAACACTACCGCACCATTTAAACTATAATATTATATAGGTATATCATCATCATTATTATGTATTTTGTTTTTAAACGTGCGACGCGTAAGGACTTAATGTTTTTTTCTAATTAAAACTCGGGTAATGATTTCATGTTTAAAGAGCTTATGATATTGAAATCGGTGTGTGCTTACGTAGTGTTTACTTTTGGTATTATTAATTAATTAATGTATATGTATTTTCTATTTTTTCGCTTGTTTTTTTGTTTACAGTGGTGAACTAATTTCGATTTGAGTGCGTTTATATTTAATAAATCTACCCACCGCGGTAACCTATAAGCGTACGTCTACCTGCAGTACACTGCGGGTAATCGAAAAATCTATGTATAATTTGTAAAAAAAAAAAATGTATAGTATACTATAGCCGCGAGGTGGCTTATTATTCGGCCGAAGGTTCTGATCTCTAAAATCTATATTTGGCGGTGGGATTTAATTAATTTAATGCTTTTGTATATGGCGGAAAACTCATGACAACTAAATAATAATCGCAGACAATGTCATTAATCCTTACACATTTCAAAAAATTTAATGTAGATATAAAATTGTAGCAATATTTTACCAATAACTCCTACAGCGTATTTGGGAATGAGGAAATAGAACAAATACATAATGTTATTTTACATGTTTTTGGTACCTGCAAGATATAACTGCATGTGGGCTGGCACTCAAACTAATGTATAGTAGGTATTTATTTGTTATATTTTATTTATTCAGTGCTATTTATGATTTAAAAATTTGTTTCGACATTTTTAAAAAGGTCATGGCACGTAATTCACACATTTTAAAAATTGTAGGTAGACTGTTTGTGTACACATACAATTAAAATCGTACAACAGGTCACAGTGTTATAATGTTCTATTTTCTCGAACTTTTAAGACCCATCCAATATATCCAATATCCATGTATTATATTATTACACTATCTACGGAAACATTGAAATACGACCGAAAACGTTCAATTTATAATTTTTTCATACTTTGTCATATTTCACAATTTTCATCGAACGATTGTTCTTTATTTTTGTCACTGGACCAGATAAATAGCGAAAACCAATTTCGAAAGGCACACAAAAAGTTTGATGACCAACGAAATTGGCTTTAATCGTTTTTTAACCTACAGTTTTTTAGGACATTACGAAGCACAAGTCGTAAATGCGTCTTTAGAGTTAAAGAGCTACCGATGGCGGAAAAAAGTAGAAAAAATAAGAATTAAACGTGCTGAATCGTTCGATAGGCAATTAAATGAATTAAATGGTACGGCACATATTGTTGCCCGTAAATTCGTTCACGACGGTATATTAGTTTTTTTGGACGAGTAGCGGAGTTTTTTACGAATTTTAAGTACTCCCGATCGTTCGGCCAAAAAGGTAAAACATTCTCAATCGTCAGATAGCGTACCGCGGAAATACAATAAAATACTAATTTCTAAAATATAATGGTCGCGACTCTGAACACGTGAGTCGCATAAACTTTCTATTCCTGCAAAGGACGTGTACGTGTTCAAGGTGACTTCGTGCATCCTATCTTAACGCCACGATCTGTGCGCAATCCTCTGGAAACGAGTGGCACACGACGGAAGGCTAGAGATAATTAATTAGTATAATTATAAAGTATTAGTACAGTGGGTATATGTCTTGATGAATAAAATTCCCACTCGCGAAAGGCGATGCAAGGATTACGGTTCGAGATTTTCAACTGGAATTTCGTCACACTGCAGAACACCATACCTAATATACGTGACGAGCACCAGTAAATGTGATCTCCCCCATTCATATAAAAAAAATGTTAAATAAGACTGACCGAAGAAATGTAATTTGATTACCGTGCCGTCATTTTATCATATTGCACCCAGTTGTGGTAGGTACATTCAGGCACGGATCCAGAGCAAAGATCTAGGGGGGGGGGCAACAATTTTTTTTCAACACAAATACAATTATAATAAATTATTATCCTTTATTCTTAATTTAACAATTTTGCTATAATAGTAGGCATCAATGTGATAAATAAAATAATATTTTTATATTAAATAACAAAGTCTAAACGCCTTTTTACATTGTCACTTTTTCCAAATCTGTCATTTATTTGGTCAATGCTTATTTCAACTTCCCTATGAACATTAAGTAAACATAACGAAGTTATGCGATGCTTTTGCATTCTAGAGCGTAGCCAGGTTTTTACCCGTCTCAGGGTAGAGAAACTTGTGATTTTAAATATTGTAATATCAGGATCTGTAGAATTATAAAAATATATGTATATGTCTTATGTCTGGGGGGGGGGGCTGGGTCCCTAGCCCCCCCCCCCCTGGATCCGTCCTTGGGTACATTAGCGGTGAGTAACAGCAATATTTTCCGGTTTAGAACCGTTTTCACGACACCGTCTGCGAACGCATATTATAGCTAGGGATCTATCTAATGTGCAGTAAAAGTCAAAAAGTTTCATTAGATTCCCATGTTAACAGCCCAATTTCATTGTTATTTTCCCATACAGCTATCAGACGATTGAACATAGAACATCTTTTTTTACTACAAGATTGAGAAAATTTGTTGGCGTATCAAAAGATACAGAAATAGAAAAGAAAACCTTTTCTCGATTGACCATACTGCCTCGTTGCCATTTGCCACGTTAATAAACAATATTCTGGGAATATTTATTAAAATAATGCAACTGTGGTATACTGGTATGAATTCAGAAGTATCACGATTTCCTGGTCATATTACTCTTATTGGCGGCCGGTTGATGATTATAAATGATAATAAAATATTATGTGACATTATGTGTCTATGTTATGACCTTTCGATACGTTATTATAGATTATCAAACGACGAACACTCACCATAATATTTAAACTGGCTTGTTCCTATAATAATTTGGGAATTACGTGTTATCTTAACTGGCCGTTGCGAATGTATAACCTGTGCCCAATGTTCAAATGTGTTCGTCACGTTTGAAGCGGTCAGTAAGATTGTTTAAATCACTGATGAAACTAATATTGTGGTCATTTCAACGGACTTCTTATCACAGCACCAACTTACTAATCCATAACGTTTTCGTTAACTGTACTTAAGATATTAAATAACATAGGTACTGGAGTGTGTAATAATCAGGGCTGTGAATTTGAAGGAAAGTACCTTTTTTTGGCGATTGTGAAACGTAGCTTCGTAATTACATAATTTGAATTATTAATTATTGAATTATAAATCCATTTATGCAATTTAATTTTGCATTTTTTGACATTTTAATTGCTTAGGTCATTTATGTGCATTTTTGTGCATTCTTATTTTCCATTTTTAGTTAATTTTCCAGTATTTTGAATCAAATTCCGTGAATTGATAAAAAAAAATTGTTTTTTTTTGCACACAGGCTGTATATACGTCGATAAAATAAGGCAATTGCTAGATAACTACATAAGTTATTTATAAGTTATTTATTTCTAAAATTTTCAAAAAATGTTTCAGGTGAATAGCATTAAGAATAGAAAATTCAAATTCAATCAACATTTCTATTATTTTTTTTTTCATTAAATAAACACTCTTTTTATGCATGAAATGTACTAATGTATAATATCCTGTATCTGATATTAATATAAATATAAATATAAAAATTAAATTAAACACCATTTTCAATGAATTGTATACTATAATTTTTGGAATTTTATATTGTTTTTTTTTGCATTTTAAGTGCATATTTTATTGCATTTTTTTGACATTTTTTGAGGTTCTTTAGTGCATTAAATTTACAGCCCTAGTAATAATACATAATATTTTAAATAGTGAATTGGCTAAGCCTATACTTAGGTAAGATCCAAGCACATGAGCGTATGCATATGTAGTGGGAATGCGGAGAAAATAATTTATGAAATTTCGGTTTAAATGCGGCAGCGTCGCTCAAAATATTCTACGATTGCTCAATCCTATCTCTAAGAAGGTAAATCCACAGACGTCGTGTTGTGTTCGATCATGTTTTATCGACTCACATCTAAGTCAAGACTGACATTGTACAAGTCCGACATCGTACAAGTCCGTCATTATTCAAGACCATCGGAGTAACTAGGGGGGATAGGGGGCTTAGCCCCATCAATATGACGGGTATTATTTAGCCCCGTATAATATATATTGTACTTATCTCATTATTTACATTTTTGTTTTTAACGATGAGTTTATACTTGCATTTTATTGTTTATTTTTAATTTTAGTTACTGTGGTGGGGTTGTGCAGGGCTCCCAAAGTTGTTCTGAACATTGATTTCCTAGGACCCTAGACTCCGTAACTATTGAATCCCAGTTACGCCCATGTCCGAGACCAACATCGTCGTATATGTCCAACGTCGCATAAAAATTCCGACTTCGTACGCATTAAGACCGAGCGCGCAGGAATAAGCGTCCTGGGCAACGATGGGCTTACCTGGCACGTGAGCCGCGTCCTGTTCCGGCGGCTCTGGTTGACCGCGTTGATCAGGAACCAGTTGAGCACGGCCAGCACCAGCAGCGGTACGCATATGAACGTGACGATGCAGAACCAGTTGTACGCCTTCTTGTAGATGTCGTTCCGTCCCAGTTCCGTGCTGCTCTTCTGGAACTTGCCGGTGGCCGCGTTGATGGCTATGTGCCACTCGTGCGGCGTGGTGGCCGTGCACGCGATGCAGAACAGCGCCACCATCAGGATGACGCGCTTGGCCCTGGACTCGGTGCACAGCACGCGGCCGCGCAGAGGGTGGCACACCGCTATGTACCGTTCGACGGTGAACGACACCGTCAACAGCACCGACGTGTTACCTGCGAACGAATCGAGTGATTAGGTGGTTCCGAAAATAAAAAAAAATAAGGAGAGATCCTGGAGAGATCCCGCCCGGAATTTCCGACACGGGGTTTTCGTATTGTCGACGAAAGATCACTTCTGCCCCCCCCCACCCCCCGTCATCGCGGACCCGTAATCCCGACCGATTCGCGAATAAAATATAGGTATACCGGTCAAATCTGTTATCGTTGTAGACATTAACGGACGTCGACGAATATTATCGGTTGTAATTTCGGTCGACGTTTACTGTTTAGGTACCGACGAATGACGTTTTTCACTCGCAGAATATTTGGGCTTTAGTAACAATAATTGTGTATGTATATGTTATGCCCGTGACTTAAAGCTGGTATTGCCAGTGTTCAAATTTTCCTATCCTTCAATCGTTTTCCGTTTTGCCACGGTAGTCGTATAATAAACCAAACAAAAGTACAATGATTAATTTATGATTGTCCACTTCTCAATAATCAATGATTATTCTGGACATGATGTTTTGGATGTAAATAAAAAAAAAAAATGGCAATTTTACTGTCTTCAATAGGTTTGGATACATTTGAAATTACCTAATATAAAGACAAATTGAGAACCGGCTGCTATATCTATCAAGTATTTTGATACATTATCCGCAGTTGCGTGTCACATAATAAACAATAATATCATAATATATTGCAATATGAATGCGATGTAAACCATAGTGGCATGTTTACAATTTTTTTGTAAAAGCAGATATTATTTAGTTTTATTTATGTGAACCATATGATGCAATTAAAAAAATTATAGTTAAAGAATGCACATGATGAAGTAGTTAGTACCGTAATAGTAAGTGTACGCCTAACATCATATATTAAGCTTTATTTTGTTGGCAGCGCTAATGACACATAATATCAAAGTGAAAAAATAGCTTTTGGGTTCTGAGTATAAGCGATTTAACTATTAACGAATTATAACCTAGTAGTGTAATTAAGGGTCCACTCAATTATTATTTTATCAAGTTAGAAACTAAATTCGACATTCATTATTTGTGGTTATATTTTTTCATTATCCATTTTATAATTTAAAATCTATTATGATGATAATATTTTTTTTCGCATTATTATTAAACGGCCAAAAATGTAATTATATTGGATCATATAAGTGTAACAGTAAATAAAAACAAATTAGTTGACGGAAAAGTGAAAATGTGTTAAATAGATAGATGGTAAACCGATGTATTTAAAAAGTTAATAATACTATAATTTATCTGATTAATATTTTTTTAAATAAACAATGAAGTAAAAAAAAATTAAAAATAATCAACTAAAAAAACGTTTATATTATTATAATATTAGGTCAACTGAATTAAGTATGAAACTTTTAATAATCTCACTCTATAACACAATAATTACATAAACCAAATTAATAATTAACTAAGTAGGTATAATATGATAAACGCTGCAGCATAAACAGGCCTCAGCAGAAGTTTTGCATATTATGATTTATGACAATGTAAGATAATATACCTACAGAATCCTCAGATAATTAATACCTCAAATACACATAACATTTTAATTTTGTTTTTATTTTACCTATTTTGTTTTATCATCTTTCGTGATAGCAGAGATGCTTTTTTGTGATTAATTTTTTTGTACCAACATGAAAAAAAAATATTTTGAACAGTAAAAATGAAAAAAAATAACTAAACATAATTAAAAAACAACATTTGAACTTTGAAGATGTAAAAATGAAAAAATTTTAAAAAAATATTAAATTTTGTGATTTTATACAATCCTTTTTTTTTTTAATAACATCTTTTCAATAACTTATTTTGAATTTAATTACTATCCTGGCCATAGGATGCTAAGTAATGACAAAATAATATTGACGGTGTTCAATTTTCAACATAATTATGTTTTCGGGCTGGATACACGATAAAATGTTTCTGACCGATTTTTCGTAAGGTATTCGTCGTTACTTATCAACAAAAACATATATTCTATGGTTCATAGATATTCCTTGTAAAAAAAAATAAAAAATATCCGGTGCTATAGTTTTTTCTATACTTTTTTGTATGGGACAAAAAATGATAAGACTTGTTTTTACAAATTGATGAAATATTTTATTAATTTCATAATTTATTTAGAAATTATTCTTATTAAAGCTTCTGGTAATAATAATTTATAAATAGTATGTTGTCGTTAGTTGTACATGTTTAGAAATAAAACTAGTATATTAAAAAAAAACATTGATTATGTATATAGGTATACATGTATCATGTGTGTTATTGATTCACGTAATTTTTTCAATCTTGTTTGTTTTAATATTTATTTTGTACATAATAAAGATAAGTAAGTATAAGCTCTAAATACTAATGGTCATAAAACATTGAATAGCATTAAATTGTTAAAAATGAACAGTGACTCATTATATCGTTTAATCATTTGATTTTCTTTTATTCACCGGTATTTACTAAATATGAAATGTCCATTCAATTTCACAATGTAGATAATTCGATATGATAAGTCTTAAGAGTTATAGTCACGATTACTGGGGATGACATTATATCTATATTGATTTTTAAAGTACATCACATTTAATAAAAAATGTACCTATAAGATTAAATGTATTTGACTTTTTTTTTATTATTGACAATAAAATCTATCATTATTTACATACAGCACTGCAACAGTGCAATTTAGTTTAATGAAAAATAATTACATATTTAATACAAGTGTTAATTGCAGCAGTAGACACTGCTAATTTGCATATATCTAATGCAAGACTAGTTAATATTTCTTGTATGCATATTTGTAACTTTTCAGAGTTCAAGTTAAATAATAATAAACAAATCAAAACACAAAGATTTGTGAGTTGAAAATGAGCAAGTACCTCGCAAGTCTTATAATTTTCATTGAAATACCAACAAAGCCAACCCTATATCAGTGTCATCTTTAAGTTATTTAAAATATGTCAAATATCAGATTCTCCCATGTTTTCTATAGAAAAACTGTTGAAAGATATTGAAGTTATGTTATATTCAAGTTGACTGTTCACCTGCAGGTATGCAAATTTACTAAAAAACAATATGTACTTTTTTTAATACTCATTATTATACGTATATATTATACTCGGAGGTGCGGCAAACACGATTTTATGCGTCAGATTATTATTTTAATACAGTTTACTGCGGTGACACTGAGACTGGACACCAGAGCACAATCTTAGACCATATTATACACAGCTGTACAACTTTACACTTTTAGTTCACCACGTTTTACCATAATATTTATAATGTAGCCCATATTTTTGGACAATATTCAAATTGTTCATAGAACACTTTCGAGTCTTCAAACGTTAAGAGCACCGAAGTTCGAGCACTGTTGCGTCTCGCGTCACCATATTATGAGAAACGATTGTTTTTTTTATAAAAGTAATTATTACTTGAAATATTCATAGCCCATACACAAGACATGCCGTCTCTTCAAAGGGGTTTTCGACACGCTGATGCAGTGTTTGCATTGTTTGTGCACCGTGCAAGATATAACCTGCAGCACCGAAGGGCAAGGACCTTAGAAAAAGTTACTCGGGGTAAAACTTTTTCCGCGGAAAACTGCACCGGAGTGCTTCATTAAAATATAGCGGATCTAATACACGTCTGAATTAAACGCCTCGGTGTTTAATGCACATTTGTACACAGCAAACAACGATTCAACAGAGCCTACCTGAAGGGGAAATTCAAACTTAACCCTTTCACTCTCCTTCGGACCACGGACGTAGGTACCATATTACATCAAACATAATAATATATACCTACCGTTGAACTGTTCGCCCGGGCTGCAGTAATATTATGTAGTACGTCGTACTATTACGAATTGCGAATTAAGCTCGTATTTTGTCCGTAAAATAAAATACGTGACTTATAAGGTCGGTGGTTGTAGCCAAAAATACAGAAGACATCGTCAATTCCTAACGAAACGTAGAGTGCTAGATAATTTTCCTCTGAGAGGAAAATCGCGGAATCATAGATATGTTATTTTGTATTACAGTGCAGTGGAAAAATATCTATTACAGTAGCATGCTACACTTTGTTGGCAATTTTATTTATTTGTTTGCACTTTTGATTTGCGTTCCTATAGGAATAAGCAATAATAAGCGTTACGAATATCGGCCTCGCCAAAATCGGTTAGAAAAAGAAAATTTGTATCCACCCCAAAAACATAATATCTTCGTTAAAATAACGAATTTAAGGTAGAGACTTTTCCGTGTTAATTTAACAATATTTTGGTAGCGATGATCCATATTTTAGCTTATTATTTCTGGTGGTTACCAAAAAGATACTACTGCATATCTTTGGTTACCGGTTTGACGTTATCACCATAGTAAATCAATTTATTAGATTTTGAACGAAACGATGAATGTATTGATTCTATAATGATGTGTGTGTGTGTGTGTTTTTTTCATACCATATTTTTTGTGTTTATGCCATTGCCTTTTAGAATAGTAAAAATCCTTTGAATTCTTACTGCAGCGTCTTTTGTGGTAGGAAAGTAAGTCTGATTAGTACTTTGGGTAAAAGCAGTTAAGGAAAACCAAAAACAAATTTAGGAAAAACAGAGATTATTACTCAAAATCAGTTTTCACATTTAGTTTCTTTGATTCAACTAAAAAACAACAACCGTAGATACTTTAAGTTATCACTAGATGTCTAGATGTTTATATGACAACTTTGAATACAAGATAAAGTTTTCAAAGGTTTCAAAGGCTTTTTGAGCTATTTTTATCCACGATAAATTTTCATTGCACGTTGGTATAAATCCTACGATATTTTTACACAGATGCCACTTACTCCTCCAAATATACAGCCCAGACCATTCAAACTTATGCACCCTGAATTAAATTTATATTAACCACCGACTTCCCCTATAACGAACAAATATTTATACTCAGACTTGGTAACATTTATAAAATTATGACAATATAATATGTACACCGTAAAACGGCTATA